AGAAGCACCCAGAGTGTCTGGAAGGAACCCCTTTCAATCTTTGAAACAGGATGGAGCAAAAGGCTCCTCCTTTCCCCCAACGCCAGGGCTCCAATCTATCTCGGGGGCCCTGGTGACACTTTTTGTAAGTAAACTACACGACTGGGAATCAGAACCTTGGATCCGCAGCATCATGTGCTGTTTGGCTGTAAGTAAACTACAGGATGCAAACCCAAACTGGGCCTCTTTCTTTGCCAAAAAAATACTCAGTGTTACTTGTACAGATCCAGTCTGTCTTGCTTTCTGGCCACTGTGTGACACAGAGTGTTGGACTGGATGGGCCTTTGGCCTGATCCAACATTGGCGTCTCTTATGTTCTTATGTTCTTAAACTGGGCCTCTTTCTTTGCCAAAAAAATACTCAGTGTTACTTGTACACATCCAGTCTGTCTTGCTTGTAGAGATGCCAGCCTCCAGGCGGGACCTGGGAATCCCCCAGAATTACAGCTCATCTCCAGGCTACAGAGAGCAGTTTCCCTGGTGAAAATGAATGCTCTGAAGGGTGGAATCTACGGCACTGTAACCCCACCAAGGTCCCTGCCCTCCCCAGGCTCCACCCCCAAATCCCCAGGGATTTCCCAACCTGGATCAGGCAACCCCCCCCCCCCGTGGCCAGGGGGAACCTGGCAACCCTGCTTGCCTGACATCTTTCCAACACTCCGCAGAATGGCTATTTGTATATCACACAATGGGAACAGTAGCTGTTTTCAATTGTACATGCTTTTAGGATAATATTGTCGCCGAGAGAGCCTGAAAGCAAGCGGAGATGGATTATATGGAATACCTACCACAGGGTTTTTTACTCCCTATTCTTGTATTGCAGATTTGATGCCCATTCCACTTAATCACCACAGCTGTGGTCACACAAGAGTGGCTAAAGAACTGAAAATTACCTAATTTGCATTCTTACTCTTAAAATATCTTATTTCAGAAATCATTTGGTTCACTGTATCATTTTTTAAATGTGTAGAGGTTTTTTTAAAGAACCTGTCCTACGGAAGCATCAAGCACTCATCAACTTCTGCTCATAAAAGGTGCTTTATAATAGCCAGGCTAGATGTGAAGGCATCCTTGAGGCCATCTGGAGAGCATTTATAATTCCAGGAGATCTCTAGATCTCACCTGGAGGTTGGCAATCCTAGTACCACTCCCAGAGTTATTTCGGCATTTGAAAAGGCACTGGGGGAAATCAAGAATGCCGCTTTGTGGGCCCAATCAGAAGTGGTTCCTTGAGGTATTTTTAAATCACTTCAAAATGGCGGCGGCACCCTCGTGGTGGCCACAAGGACAGTCACATCGAGTTTAGCCCTAAGACTCAAAAACCTTTGATGCTGATTCTGAATGTCTGCCTGCCCCCCTAGGTCGTATGACTCACCCCAGAGAAATGTGATTGCAGCTTCTTGCGTGCTCGGAGGTGGAGGCCTCTTGGTTTATTGGCTTCTGTCCAGGCACAGGATGAAGACTCTGGAAATGGGAGATGGATGGTGGGGTTCTGGGGTGAAGTCATCGAGAGACAAAGAAGATGAAGGAATTAGACCCTTCCAAGTGAAAACATCTGAGAAGGAAATTCAGGTACCAATGGGGAGGGGAACTAGGAGAGATTAATCTAGAATTGCATTAGCAGAACAAAGTTTGAGTCCAACAAAGTTTTATTCTGGGTATAAGCTGTCGTGTGCTTTGTTCTGCTGCTTCAGACGAACACGGCTACCCACCTGAATCTAGAATTGAATTAGTAGTACTTGTATTATTTATACAGCACTTTTTAAATTTAATCACATATAGGATATATCAGGAACTACAAGGGACGCTTTTCCCTGTTAAGATGCCTCCTTCACATAGTGGTAAATTTTTGAAATTACTGTTGCAATATCTCCAATGATAGTGCTTTATGGGGATTCTCTCATCAGGATTTGTACCAGCGTCTTGACCAGGCCCGTTATACCCCACCGCTGGAGGGTTCTGCTTTCAACTATGGTTTCAACTCCAACTACCTTCAGAGGGTGATCTCCTACTGGAGGAACCAGTTTGACTGGCAGAAGCACGTTAAAATCCTCAACCAATATCCACATTATAAAACAACCATTGAAGGTGAACGGAGCTAGATATACCTCTCTCCTGTGTTTGGGCTAATCCTTTCCATCAAATCCTCTCCCACTTTCAGCGGGCTTTTTCTACTGATAGCCACCATGTTAAATTGTCTGTTGCTTTTTTCCGGACAGGGATTGAAATTCATTTTATCCACGTGAAACCATCTCGTAACCTGAGAGGCCTGGCAGCCAAGCCTCTGCTGATGGTGCATGGCTGGCCTGGTTCATTCTACGAGTTCTATAAGATCATCCCACTTCTTACTGACCCAGTTGGTCATAGACTGAGTGATGAGGATATAGTCTTTGAGGTCATCTGTCCATCCATTCCAGGATACGGCTTCTCTGAGGCCCCCCACCAGCAGGGTATGCAACAGACGAGACTGTGAGAGACGTTTCTAGGGTGGAACTGTTCATTCAAAAGGTCTTTCATGATCTGATTCTTTCCTCTCACAGGCTTTGACACGATAGCTTGTGCTCGGATCTTTCACAAGCTGATGCAGAGACTGGGCTTCCAGGAATATTATGTACAGGGGGGAGACTGGGGTTCCCGGATCACCACAAACATGGCCCAGATGCTGCCAAAGTGAGTAGCAGAAGACTTTGCTTTCTTTCTTTTAGTCTCTGACATCATTTTTATTCAACAGACTAGAGTCCATGCAGATCCATGTTACAGAGGTGAGGTCCCCCACACACTAGCCTCCCTTTATACACATTTAGTGTGATGGTAGTTTGCAAACAGCTCTGCATTAGGCAAGATTAAGAAACCAGTCATCTTCAAACAATTAATCCAGTTTGGTTATTAATTATTTTTTCTTCCACCAAGGAACTCTTAAATATCCTAGGTATTTTAATGAGCACTTCCTGTAGAAATTGGACTCAGGAAAACAACTGAAAACAGAAATATGAATTATGCAATCTGTTCCCATGAGGAACTAATATATTTCCCAGAAGTAAATCCAGAATTAGTTCCTGACTGAACATAAAGGAAGCAACTGAGGAATGTTAACTAGTACAACCACCACTGCTATAGGTAAAGGAAGCAACTGTTAACTAGTACAACCACCACTGCTATAACTTGTATAAAACAACATCACTTCCAATGGGGGCATGCAGTGGATTTTGTGTCCTCCACTCCTCTCTGCATGTCTTTCTCATCATCACACCAGTTTGATGTAGTGGGTTAAGAGTGGCAGACTCTAATCTGGGAGAACTGGGTTTGATTCCCCACTCCTCATGTAGCTGCTTGGTGACCTTGGGCAAGCCACAGTTCCCTCAGAGCTGTTACCTCAAGAGCAGTCCTTAAAAGAGCTCTCTCAGCCCCACCTACCTCACAGGGTGTCTGTTGTGGGGAGCGGAAGGGAAGAACATGTGTGGTGGTAGTAGGGATCCATGTTTCAATATTCATATATTATCCTGTACATGCATAAAGCAGGATGAGGTTCTATTTTTACCAAAAGCCAAGCATGAATGTGGGGGGCAAATTCTGCCTTCCATTTTTTTTTTACCTCAGTGTGTTCTGTTGCTCGAATATTTTTCTCCACGCTCAGTTCCAGTACTGCAAATGAGCCAGAGTAGAAGGAAGGTCCTTCAAAGGAAGTGGGGATGGAGGGTTTAGCACTGAGGTCCCCGATGTGGTGCCTGTGGGTGCCACAGCACCTGCCAACACCTTTCCTGGTGCCTGCCAAGTGTTTTTAGAAAGTGGGCAAGGCCAGGTCAGGCTTTTGCCCAGCAAGGCTTCTGATTGGTAATTGGAGATTTGATTGGCTGTGCAGAATTTTAAACATGTTGCTTTGGCATCAGTTGCCACGCAGCAGGAGGAACATCACTTATGTGACTGAAGGTAAGCTTCAGCAGCCATTTTCTGGCTGGCTCCACCTCCAACAGCAGCCATTTTCTGGCTGCACTCACCAGACTGTAGCAGAATCCAAAGGTGCCCCACAGGCTCAAAAATGTTGGGGATCCCGGTATAGCATCTGCATGCTCTGTGCTTGGTTAACAATAGGCCACATCATCCACTTTAATATGAATTAGGCACATCAGGCCTGATTTGGCAAGCTTAGGCCTAATTGTATGCAAGTCAAATCCACTGAACGCACTGGGATTTATTTCTGAGTAAATATGTTGGTATCAGCCTGTGTGCTTTGTGTTCCTTGGTTTTAGGTCTGTAAAGGGACTTCACCTGAACTTCGTCTTCGTGCCCAAAATTGGTTGGAGTAGCTTGGTGTCTTTACTGCTGGGAGCCTACGTACCATGGTTGGTGGGCCTCACCAGAGAAGACTCACGTCTCCTGTTCCCATACTTTAAGAAGCATATATATGACCTCTTGCGGGAGTCTGGCTACATGCACATTCAGGCCACCAAGCCAGACACAGTAGGTTTGTGAATTTACCTTACTTGTGGCTTTTTACGGTCTGTGGCTCTTTCTGTTCCTGCCCTTGCATAATACTGATGCTAAAATGAAAGAAGTCACAGATTAAATGAAATTTTATTAAATTCAAGCTTCAGAAATGTCCCTCATATGTCAGTGGGTTTTGCAAATCAATCTAGGACCAGGTGCTCTTTCTTAGTACTTGTGCCAAAACATTCAAAAATCTGCACACTCAAACATGTAGAAATAAGTGATTTCAAATCTGAGATGTTAACATCTCTGTTCTGGTCAATGCACTCTAAGTCTTTCATGCTCAAATGGTTAGATGTTTTCCAAAATAGTCAGAGAAGAGAGAAACTGATTGCAGGGAGAACAGGCTCATGCAATGCTCCCTGATACATATACATGGAGAAATGTAGTGCGTGACCTGACAATTCAAAAATAAAATGAGTACCAATCCTTGTGATCACAGTAATAATTTTTCTAGCCCTGTACACTTTAGGTTAACTGGGCACTTCCAAGACTAACCATTAGGTTAACCATTATTTGCACAAACAATCATCTATAACAGAATGTGATGGTATAAAATTGGTTGAAATACAAAGCCCATATTCTCTTTCATGGTCCAGTTCCTGGTACAAGGCTAGAAATCTGAAGGCTGTTGACTGAAAGCTATTGTGTTGCTTTCCTGACCTAGGATGCGGACTGAATAATTCTCCTGTGGGCCTTGCTGCATACATTCTAGAGAAGTTCTCCACCTGGACTGATAAATCATTCCGAAACTTGGACAATGGAGGTCTGGAAAGGTAGGCACACTGGAAAAACAACCAGTGGCTTAAAACTTGAGGGTGGGGCAGGGTGAGAATCAAAAACAATATATACTAGCATGCTTTTGCCTCAGTAGCAGTCTTTGGCACTTTAAAGACTTTCATGCATTTCATCAGAGCCATACAATGGCCCGGCCCCATTCACACGGGCCGGATATCGCGGGGGAGAAGGCGTGGCTAATTGCCCCGGTGCAGTTTGATCCGTGATTACACGATCAGATGTGCCGGCAGCACACCACGGGTCCTGCCCTCGGCGACGGCGGGTAAACGAGGGACCGGAGGGGAATGCCGCGCGCCGGCACGATCACGCCACGGGCGTCTGGAGGCAGCCCGTGGCAAATGTTTACTAGTACCTTGGAGGTACTAGTTTTTTAATGTGCATTGTCGGCGGTAAGCCACGGGTGCGCTCCACTTCCCAGATGTTGGGGTGTGATCGCGCCCGGATAATCCGCCCACCATCCGTGCCTCTCCCGCGGCAACTTTGCCGTGTGACCGGGGCCATAATATAGTATATGAGCTCTCCATCTTGTATTATGGGTAAGCTAAATTATGTGTGAGCGAAATACTATGCTCTGCTTTTCTTATTCAGGAAATACTCTCTGGATGAACTTTTAACCAATGTCATGATCTATTGGGTGTCTTCCTCCATTGTGTCATCAATGCGCTTTTACAAAGAGAACTTCTCTCAGAACCCTGCCAGTGCTCCTGATGCCAGGTAAGGAATAGGTACTGGAAAAAATTCTAAGATAAGTCATCCCACTGCAAAAGTGATTTGCATGCTACCTTACACTGTTCACTTCATTTATGCTGCCTTTCTTCAAGGAGCTACGTACTCACTCCGTGTAATATCAGGCCATACTGTTGACATAATGCAAATACAATTTATCCCTAGTCTTTGCCCCCTCCAAGCATATTTGAACAGTCTATATTCTGTAGTTAAGACAGTTCATTTTCAAAAAGAAGCTCTGAAATCACATAGTTATGGATCCCAGTGCCACTCTACAAATGGGGTGCATGACAACACCTCATTGAAACATGATCTGTATTTTAAAATTTAAAAAGTACAATGAAAACATACCGCATATGGTGGCTTCTTTCATGGTTGCTTGAAAGAACAAGCTCAGCCCTATGATGCCAAGGTGAAAGAAAACACTTGCTTCTGTAGCCCAAATGCAAGAGTAGAATCAAAACTTTAAGATTTTATTTATTTATTTATTTATTAACTTAGACTTTTTTTTAAAAAAAAAGACCACCCGTTCCTGAAAGACAGGGCTCAGGGCGGTGTACAACATGATTCCAATACTCAACCGCGCGGGGCAGGGCATCGAACAGTCCAAACCATCTGATGGCAAAAGTTTACAGATGCCACAGCCTCGTAGGGGGGGGAAGCTATAGGAGATGGAAGACTTGGTAGTCCTTATGTCTACCAGCCTAATACAAGAGCGCAGTGATCGATTTTATCTCTTCAACAAGCTAGCCACTCTAGGTCTAAGGTTTGTGTACCTATTAGAAATAGGAAAATAACTAAAAACATATGAAGCGAATGAAAACTTTGGAAACACTAGCGTTGGATCCAGTAGCACCTTAGACACCAACAAGATTTTCAGTGTATAAGGTTCGAGACAAAACTCTTCTCTTTGGATACCATCTAATGAAAGGAGCTTTGTTTCTCAAAAGCTTGTACCCCAAAAATCTCATTGGTCTCCAAGGTGCTTCTGACCTGGACTTGACTCCAGCTGTTCTACTGTAGACTAACATGACTACCCACTGACACTGCCTTAGAAAAGGTATTCCTCATCATTGCCTAAGAAGCTTTCATGTGCTGTGTCTTCCTCTACAGGATTGATGTCTATGTTCCCACTGGTGTTGCTGCCTTCCCTAATGAAATCACCCACACCCCTCGGTCCTGGGCAAAGAAGAAGTATAAGAACATTGTTACCTATTCCCACATGCCCCGTGGTGGGCACTTTGCCGCCTTTGAGGAACCAGAGCTTTTGGCTCAAGACATTAGACAGTTTGTAAGGAAGGTGGAGCATCTGTGAATAAGCGGCATGTCATGAGCATTACAGAAATGCAAGAGGGAACCTGAAGCTTAGGGCAACTTGCAATAGTCAAAACAAAATATTGTAATTTAATTGCTACTTAAGCTTCAGAGAGTCAGATGCTCCTCTTATGAGAGGCTGTTATCACACAAGGAAGTTAAAAAAATATTGCATCAAATGTGAATCATGTCCCCTCTTTTATTTAAAAGATCATTCCGACTCTCATTGACTTCATTTTACAGACATGTTACAGACAGATTACTTTTACAGTTGATTGAAGTAGCACCTCCACAAAACATGAACACTTTACACAACACTGTGGATTTTTTAAATGAGCTAATTGTTTGCAGCTGACTTTTGAAGTATTTTAAGGGATAAAAGCTCTACTTTTATAGGGCCAGTACCAGAAATCATCCACTTCTCTCTGACCGTGTCCTCTTAATCTGTGGATCTATTCCACGGCTTTGATAACTGTCTTAGAACAGAGCCTGTGTACCAATAGCAGAATATCTGCAGTGTTTTATTTGCTTTGAACAAGCATGTTTGTTCAGCCTTTCCCAGAAAGTAATTCAGTACAAAGTACCACAAGTCCCAGACACCTTATAAGGCTCTGAGATTGGAAAGCCCTTCCCTTAACCATTTCTTGTTTGTAGTTATTCTATCAGTGCACAGTGCTGGTCTGGAGAGTATTCAGAAGTCAGACATACAACCTGTGCATATAAACCTTTATACAGCACACACTTCTAGGTCTCTATTTCATCCTGAAACATGGTAGCAAAACAATCCAATCTACAGCACTACATTCCTCCATTAGTTTCTTGACACAGAATCTTGTTCTCAGGGTACAGAAATTACCTATCCTATCCAGCTGCCCCACATGTAGCTTTCTTTAATTTATTCTTCCCTTTCTAGAGGACAGCAGTCTACCCCAATACCCACTGGAAAGCCATTCTCCCCAAATTTGTCAACTATTTTCACTGGACCTTAAAAGCAATACAACACCTCATAGTGGCTCTGCTCAAATTATGTGAAGGTTCTCTATTTTGGATTAGGTCCTCCAGGAGTCTCCTATTCTCTATCTTAATGTAAGCACAGAATAAAGCAGATCACTATCACAATGTAAGGTAGTCTATAGGAGGTCAGTCTTTCTTCTGTCTGACATGCATTAATTTCAAAAGTGCTTCTAGTTTAGCTTTGGTCAAAGCCAGGGAAGAGGGGAGCAACTTCTATACCTTTAGAATTAATTTAGTGCTCTGCAATTAAGACCCACTTCCACAAGAAGCACTATTAGGATGTTCACTTCTATGCAAGAAAGAAAATCTGTCGTATCAGCCAAGTAGAACCATTGTGAAGAAAGCAAAGCGAGCATTTCAATAATATTACTCATGCTAAAAATTTAAGGGCGTGTGTGTCTCCTCTCTCACAATACTCAGATACTTCTCAGAAGAACCAATGTCTAGAAAACACATGTGAAAATACTGCATCAGTGGGGGATTCCGGCTTTAAATGTCATTATTCTTCCGCACAAGGAAAAAGGATTTTGCTAGGCTTATTAAAGCTGGGTATCCTTGACAACACCTCCCTTATTGCAGCATCTATCATTACACAGGCAAATATGAATTATGGCTTCCATGATACCCTTTTAAAAATCAACCTTGATAAGAGATTGGAATTCAGTAAACATTACTCCGCGATCAGGCAGTGAATACAGCTAATGTAATCTGTAGGATGCTCCTACGATGGCCCAATTGTTTCAAGTCTTGTTTAATAACCAAACAGGAGAGAAAATGGGTTAATGAGTCCCACAGCACACTTTTAACCTTTCTCCAAGTTCTCCAAAGGCACTTGTAATCACAGTGGAACTGTTTCCAAGCTCCATCATGTGGAGAGAAAGCTCTCTAGAGAATACAGTACAGCTCAACATAGTTCTTAAAGTGCTTCTGGAAAAGAGAATCTAACAAGAAACTTGTAATTGCAGACTATCAAAGACTTAGCACAGAGTAACATCTATATGAGGTTAAGAAAGTCCTTTTCAAAACCTTGTCAAGAAAAGTAACGGAAACCCTTCACTGTCACTGGAGCTTGAAACCATATATAATCATTCAAGGCAAAGTTCACTTCAGCATTAGAAGAAAGTGTTGCACCGCCATGGTCACTGCAGGATAAGTTGACAGTCAGCTTCCTCCCTCGAGCTGGCACTTTGTAGTTTAGTTTGGGTCTGAACCAGTCAATGCCACAGTTGCGGTGTCCTTGGACCATAACAATGACACCCAGGGTGGGGACAGCTCTAAGATCACTAAAGACATCTGCCAGGAAGAGCGAATGGAAAAGCTTGCGAACACAAGCTGCCGTTTGCAGGCTCTCCTTGGTGCCACCTAAAGAGATGCCCTGCAGGTTGATCTCATATAGTTCTTTAGGGCTAACGGCAGTACCACCAAGCAGAATAAGAACTCGTGGGACCAACGTCAAACTGAACATGATTTCCAAGTGCTGGAACAGTCTCTCCAGGTCACCTAGCACTTGCTGGCATTTCTTATTGTTGTCTGGATCGCTAGCATAGACTTTTCTGATCACATCTTCATCCTGTGAAGTAAACACAATAGAAACAATGGGAATATTTTAAAAGGGGAAACAAAAGCTTACCTTTTATGTCCAAGCACTTCACACACATTACCTTAAGCCCTACATGGCAACATGTAGTATAGATTATGTTCATGCATGCTAGTAAACTAGATCACCACTGAACTAAAAAGAGTACACCAGTTACTAAGAAAACAACTTGACACCTATCTGCCATAACCACTCCTCTTGAACTGTGACATGGCACAGTATTTGTGAGACTTCTCCAGAAATGAAGAGGGTCACTAGATATGCAGACCACAATTGTTCTAATTGCTATTTCATCCAAAGTCAGCAGTTTCCTGAGTACTGAAAGGTAGCTAATGTCACTCCCATCTTTAAAAAGGGTTCCAGAGGAGATCCAGAAAATTACAGGCCAGTCAGTCTGACGTCGATACTGGGTAAGTTGGTATTAAGGAAAGAATTAGTAGACACACACGATGATGAACAAAACCTATTGATGCGGACTCAACATGGGTTCTGTAAGGGAAGATCTTGTCTCACTAACCTGTTGGCGTTCTTTGGGGGACTGAACAAACATATGGACAAGGGGGACCCAATAGATGTTGTTTACCTTGACTTCCAGAAAGCTTTTGATAAAGTTCCTCATCAAAGGCTCCTAAGTAAGTTCAATAGTCACGGGATAAAAGGACAAGTCCTCTTGTGGATCAAAAACTGGCTAATTAATAGGAAACAGAGAGTGAGTATAAATGGGGAATTTTCTCAGTGGAGGATGGTAAGCAGTGGGGTACTGCAGGGATCAGTACTGGGTCCGATGCATTGTAACTTGTTCATTAATGATTTGGAGTTGGGAGTAAGCAGTGAGGTGGATAAATCTGCAGATGACACAAATTGTTCAGGGTGGTGAAAACCAGGGAGGATTGTGAAGCACTCCAAAGGGATCTGTCAAAGATGGGCGAGTGGGCATCAGCGTGGCAAATGAGGTTCAATGTGGCCAAGTGCCAAGTGATGCACATTGGAGCCAAAAATCCTAACTATAAATACACGTTGATGGGGTCCAAACTGGCAGAGACTGACCAAGAGAGAGATCTGGGAGTCATAGTAGATAACTCACTGAAAATGTCATAGTAGATAACTCACTGTGTGCATCTGCAACAAAAAAGGCCAATGCTATGC